ACTATTTCTTCTGCTTATCTTATTTTTAATGCAGCTTTTATACTTGGAATAACAGGCCTCCACGCAGCCCTGGAATTATTTACTTTTAAGTCAGCAAAGAAAATGGAAAATACTAGTCAGGTCTCTCTATTCCTTAACAAAACACCTCAGAATGAGAAGCGTTTACCCTGGAGGGCTGCAGAGAAAGGCAGGGCAAAGGCAGGCGGCCCGGCCACCCCGCTCGGCATCACCGGCGTGCTTACTTGGTGAATGAAGTCCATGAGGAAAGAGTGGGCTTTCATCTTGTCTTCGAGCTGGTGAAGAATGATCAGTGATGTGTTGCTAAACCCAGGAGCTTCTGCTGAAACACAGTAACAAGGCTTACATGCGTAATATACTAGCTTTACAATAATTACTGTTACTAAAATAAAAAGTTAAAAATCTATACAAAAGTCAAGTACCAACCTTTCAATGCAATTATTTGTTAACACTACTCAAGAGTTAAAAAAATCTGGAGGACAATTTGGGGGGTTTGATACAATTCATACTGTATTTACCCAGAATACAAAATACATTATTAATTTAATCACTTATATCACTCTAAGCTTGAAAGCTCAAAAAAAACAGTTAAAAAAAGTAGGAAACCACTTCCTAACTGTGTAATGAGGCTTAACAAACCTGGAAGTAGAAAATCAGGAAGAGAAATGGACATTTGAGACAGTTTCTGGCGTTGGGAGCCCCACAGTATATGCCTGAAGTTGCAATGGAAGTGTAAGAGGGACAGTCACTGGGGCAGGTGGGGAAGCATCAGGCAGAAAGATCTGATATGCCCACTCCTACACGTCAGAGGAAGCTTACTGCCACTCTCAGAGAAATGTATAATTTCTATTAGCCAAATACAGTGGTTATGCCAAAACTGTCATTCAACTTGGGGGCTAGTAAGTGCCAAGTGCCTACCTATGCCACCAATTTCCTTTTAAAAATGAAATGCTGAGATTTTATTTAATTAGTAGGGCTAATTAATATGCTTCAAACAGAAGTAGGATTTTCTCCAATGTTCCTTCAGTTTTCATTCTAATATGCAGATCTGTTCTGAGCCCTCTTCAAAATCTACTATAAGGCAAGTTAGAAACCTTTTAAAAGATGGATATTATATTGCTTCAGAAACTGAAAAATATGCTTTGAGATGCCTTAATAAAGGAACCAGAACATTATTCTCAAAGCATATCATTCCACAATATTAAAATTAGAATGTTCTTACCCTCAGGGACAGACTCGGCCCATCGTGGATCAGAAGCTGGGTAGTCATCTATCAGGTCCACGCTGATTTGGGTAACTGCTCTGTCTAGTTCACAATCGGAATCCAAGCCAGAGCAAGAGGAAAACAGCTCATCCACCATCATTTGAGCATGACCTAAATCTTTTCTGAAATAACATTGGAAGACAAAAGTATTAAAGGAGGCAAAACCTTTTCAAAACTCATCATGAAAAAGTTAACCACGAAATTAAAGTCCTATATGTAAGCCCACAGTTACTTACTTTCAATGACATTTACTTGAAAGGGAGAAAACTAGCATGCATCAATTAATTCAACAGATACATGCTGAGTACTTACAATATGCTAGGCCCTGAGGGCAGAATGACAAATAAGACACTAAACAGCAGTGCAGGACTTCACAAAGTAGACAGTGCCATGAGGAGTCAGACAATTAAACAAGCAGCTCCAAGTGCAGTAAGGCAGGGAAAGAACAGTACTACAGAGCGTGGAGGGGGAAAACCCAAGCTACCCATGGGGCAGAGAAACTTCCTGGGGGAGAGGTGGCTAAGCAGAGGCCTGTCGGCTAAGAAGCAGGTGCAGGAGGCTGGGGTGAATGTACAGAGGGGCCTGTATCGCAGGAGAGAACTGAAGCCCTGGGCGTGGAGGATGGCATCCCGAGGGAAGAAGTGGGGGAGACAGCTCCTGGGGCAGGCCTCTTAGAACCACTGCCCATTAAAGGAAAAAGTACAGAAAGTCTCATAAACCATGTGATGGAGCTTGAGCTTAGCCCGAAGGACAGTGGAAAGGCACTGAGAAGGAAGCACCATGATCTGCTCTACTTCTCCAAAAGATCATCCTACCAGTGAGATGGAAATGGGGGGTCAGACAGGAGGGAGAAAGCTCCAGTTAGGAAGACACGGCAGAACCACAGTTGTCTCCACTAGCTGTGGCTGCAGAGGAGGATGGAGACAAGGAGACAGGCTTGAGAAAGAAAGCTACATGAGGGGAATGCTGGCATCTGCCTGGGGCCCATGCATATTTTGCTCTGAACACCTGAATGGATGACGGTAGGACTTGTCCCTGGAACAGGGGGTAGAAAAGAAAGAACAAGCTTCAGAGAAGACCAGCGTGGTTTGGGATGATGCTGAGACCACAGTGCATGTGGAATACACGCCTGCTCTCGAACGTTCTGCGTTTGAACACCACGGGCCGAGCATAGCAATGTGTGTCTTCAGCAAATGAAGCCAAGGAAGGAGAAAACATTATACAGGGAGTAGAAGGAGAAGAACACAGCGGACGAGAGTAAACGTAGACCACTTTCAGGCGGTCCTGCTATAACAGAGACATGCGAAACGAGTGGTCGCTCAAAGGGGGATACAAAGGCAGGACTGGCTGTTCTGAAATGGCTCACACGGCTCATGAGAAGTAGACAGCACAAGAAAGGTTAAAGGTACAGAAGAGGAACAACTGAATGAGCAGGTCTCAATGAAAGCAGGAAATAACAGCTTTCCAGATAAATACAAAGAGATTAGCCTTCGGAAGAACCCCTCTTCCTACTCCAGAGGAAGGGAGAGAGGAAAGGCGGTTTGGACGCAGGTCTGTAAAAACTCTGTCCGGGGAGTTCTCCCATGTGAAGTAGGGGCAGAGTCAGCTGCTAAGTCTGGGCAACGAGGTGAGGAAATGGAAAGGCGGAGATCGGAGAGACCCTGAAAGGGTGTCCTGGTGCATCAGGAGACAGAGCTGCCTGGTGAAACACAGGAAAACTGCCCAGAAGTGGTAAAGGCCAGACTGAAGCAGGACACCTGGTAACAATACAGGTTATGGGAATATGACAAAGTTGGCTATGACAAGATCAGTAATTATTTTAATCAACAGAATAAGTTTCTTTCAACTCTCATGAACAAAAGATCTCATATTCATGTTAAGTAAAATGTAAACCAAATAATACAAAAACTAATTCCAAAGAAATTACACCATGAATGTAGTAATATTACCTGAGCAAAAAACTAAACAAATAACACTTAGAGTGCAATCTACCAATTTTGACCCCCAGGTAGCCTCTGGCACTATTTGAAGATAATTCTGGTTGTCATACCATGGGGAGAAGGATGCTACTAGAGTCAGGTGTGAAGAGGCCAGGGATGCTACTGAACACTAACTGGTTCCTGGGACAGCCCCACGACAGAAAATAACAAAAAATTATCTGGTCTCAAATGTCAACAGAGGGGAGGCTAAGAAATCCTGCTTTAACAGTACCGCGATTTCGTTTGTGAAGAGTGATTCTCTAAGACCGTCAGCAGACAGCACCCCAGAAATGATTACTCGTTAACCACCCAGGACTTCACCACGTTACACAGGATGTCAACAGCTCAGCTGTGTCAGGGGCCCAGTGACCCTGTGCCTAAGGTCACTACACTCTCAGGACTTAAGGTCAGGGTGCTTTTTATGCTTAATAATCTTCCCCTGTAAAACACTTAGAAATGACGACCCTGAGTTGAATAATATCCTCCCCAAATCCACGTGCACCCTGAACCTTGTCATGTGACCTTATTTGGAAATAAGGTTTTTGCAGACAGGATCAGTTATGATGAGGTCAGAGTGGATTAGAGCAGGTCCTAGATCTAATGACTGGTATCATTATTAGAAGGACAGGTGAAGACAGACATTCAGGGAAGAAGGCCAGTGACAATGGAAGAAACTGGAGTGACGTGTCTACAAGCTAAGGAAGGCCAATGATCACCAGCAACCACCAGGAGCTGGGAGAGAGGCAAGCAGAGGGTCTTCCTTTGTCTCAGACATGAATTCTGCCTATCATGCGTGCTGGCATCTTCCTTGAAAGGTTTAGTAAATTCTTATTTGAATAAACACTCAGGACAACTGTGATCCAGCTCTTGCTGTGTCCCTGACTGGCTGTGTGAAGCTTTGGACAGGTTGTTCATCACCTCTGCAACTGTTTCTTCCTTCGTGGAGTGTTGGGTGGGGTGGCAGCTGGAGTGCGTGATGGATGTCAGCTGCATCAGATCCTGGTTCTGAGGAACTGGAGCTGACCACTGTGTCCCCCAGTCCCCAGCTCACGAACTGTGACCCCGAGTCGTGTCTTCAGAGGGAGTGCAGCCCTGATGGCCGACACAGCTGACTCTGGGCTTCTGACCTCGAGGACTGTGACGTAGTAAATTTCTATTGTGCTAAGCCACCCAGTTTGGGGTAAATTGCTAGAGTATATATATACACAGGAAACTAATCAAATGACTGTGGCGAAGTGCTCTATTACCACTTAAATTTTGAGATGTCATAAATCTGACAGAATTATTAATTAGAGGATAAACTTGTGCAAGATAAAACTATAGCAATTTAATCCAAACCTTGGCAATAAGACTGAACACCATGCCCAACAAACGAGATTAAAGGAATACTATTAAAAGCAGAACCAAAAAGCTTGTCTCACGGTGCCCTCTGCTGGACAGGACACTAAGCTCAGAAGGTCATTCTGATGGCACGGAACTTCAAACCTGTAACACACCGTAGAGTCTATTACCCCTTCCATGAGAGTGAGCCACTATGCATCAGACACCACTCTATGCACGCGATTATAGGTCATGCGGTGAGAACTGGGGAAACAGAAGTAGTCAGCTCTAGTTCCTCCAAACAAGGATCTAGATACAACTAATGATCCGTCACGCACTCCAGCTGCCACCCCACCCGACACTGCACAAAGGAAGAAACAGGGTTGCAGAAGTGATGAGCAAACTGTCCAAAGCCTCACACAGCCAGTTAGGGACACGGCAGGAGCTGGATCACAACTGTCCTGTTTACTCAAATAAGAATTTACTACACCTTTTAAGGAAGACACCAGGACACATGACAGGCAGGATTCATGTCTAGGACAAACTGAAGCGACTGGATTCACCTTAAAACCAAGAATATGAGGTCAGCAAGTGTGACAGACCAAATCATTCCACCTCCCCCCACTGCACACTCCCTAGGAGCACCTGCCCCCTGGGTGCTTCCCTCCGAGGCTTGCTCAGGCCAGTGTGGGGTCAGCAGGTGGGGCCCGGCAGAGACGGGGAGAGTGCCTGTGCCCCGAGGCACACTCTCCTTCCATTCGTGGGGCCCCGAGACAGGTGAGCCGGGCCAGGACAGCCTGCTCAGGCATGAGGGGCCATGTGGAGCCAGCAGAGCCAAGCGGCCAGCACCCCTGGGATGTGCGCGGGCCTAGCTGGAGCCACTGACAGTGAGTGAGTCCCGACAGGCCAGCAACACAGCCACCTGAGCCTGACCCCACATGCCTGGACTATGGAATCATGAACTACTTTAAATAAGCCACTAAATTCTGTGGTGATTTTCTACAGAGCAAAACCCAGTAAATAGGCCAAGTCCAAATTTTTTACAACACTGATAAAACTTCGTATTTATTTATGCATTCAGCTTAATATCATACTTAAAAGACACCTGTGGCCTGTCCTCGTGGTCCCCATTTTTACCAGTACATTGCTTCCCACTAACTGTGCCGGGTGAGCCGCACTGTGCCCCCCGCCTCACTGGAGCCCTGCCTCCAGAGGCCGCCAGGCCCCAGCGACAGCCCGCCAAGCGCTCAGCTCAGAAACAGGTTTCTCCCTCGGAGGAGTCACTCTGCCAACTGGCTCCCCACCGGTCAACAAATAAGTAGCGTATCAATAAAATGTGTCCTCAGAATAAAATAAACCATGATTTTAAAATCTTATTATACCTGCAGTATTGCAGAAAAGCAGCTTTTAGCAATTTGGTTTTATCTTCCTGGGCTATGGTTTCATTCTTTGTAGAGGTCTCAAGAACCATATTCTGTAAAATAACAAGCCATAATTTAGAGCTGAGTATCTCTAATCAGACTATTCTTAACTATCAGATTAGAAACTGGGCCTGTGGCAGCAACGCCACGACACACGAGCTATGCCAGTGGGTCATATACTTAAGGTACTTAGAAATGATAAGAATCCCCAAATGATCAAGGTGTTATAGAAAAGGTGTGTGTAATTCAGGGATTATATTGTGAGTAAAATTACTTGGGATTTCATCATAACCAATGCCACCTTCTACAGATGCACTCTCACACAGCTCATTTTACTAAGCATGATGGTTGATTTCTAGTTTAAACAAGGACTTAGAAAATTTTTAAAAACATGATAGCTTCAGCACACACAGCAGTATTACAAAAACCACAATTACAAAATAATGGAAGTTAGAAAATTGTGACTTTCTCTTGAAACTGTACCAATCATTTTTATTTTTGAATTACAGAAATGGTCTATATATTTCACACACTATTCAAATGGAGATTGCCCTGAAAAGCATTAATTATTATCATTATTATGTAAAAGAATAAAAATCCCATGGCTCAGGGTATTTGGGTTTCAAGACGACAGGAAACAACACTGATGGTTTGTACCTCGCTCTCCCTCTCAAAAATCATCCCAGAGTCACAAGACAAAAAGAAACAGAACCACCCAAATGCCTGTGATTCCAACTGTAACACACGAGGATGGAAACCAGAAGAAGGGGCAGCCAAGGACAGAGCAGAGCAGAGACAGGCAGAGCCCTCGTGTGTGTGCGGGGACAGGTCTGGGTGTGAGGACGGTGACAGCGCTGTTTCAACATGACAGTGGACGCAGAGTTTCTAGAGATCTGACCCTGGAGAAACTATACGGAAAGGCATTTATAGAGCTGCTGCGGGGGTGTGAATATAAGCCAGATAACAAAGAAAAGGAGCAAATATAAAATTAGTCCATATGCACTCCAAGAGTCACACAAGCTATATAATACAGGAAATACAGTCGGTACATTACTTGACTCAGTGAGCCATAAACAAAATCAACATTGTCATTTTAATGGAAAAAAATTTGTATTGGAATGAGCAAGGCAGAGGAAAGAGTGTAAGTTACCTTAAAGCCTCATCTTCCACAAGAGGAAATCAGTATGTCTGAAACTGGTGAATTAGGAGACAGCAATATATGCATATTACTGAAAATATGAGGAAAACACCACGAGAAACAGCTGAAAGACTTAAAAAGTAGTTGCTTCTAGAAAGGCCAAAGGGGATGAGGATGATAACAGAACTAATGCTTTCATCACAACTCTTTTAAAACTGACTTTTTAAAACATCTGTGGAAAATACTCTGCTACAAATTTAAAAATCTTATGGAACCATATTACCTCATTGCTTGGGCCAGCAACTGAAGATGCTAGGGAATCTTCAAGATCTTCTGCTAATATGGACACATTTTCCCTTGAAGTAATGGACACCAATCCACTGTTTCTAGAAAAAAGGATAGGAATGCCGCCACAGGAACCAGCTCCTAAAATACTATCTCCTAAAAGAAAAATACACAAACGTAAAAAGCAAATGCTTTCTAACAAAAAACCATTTTCTAAAATCTACTACTGTAAGAAGAAAACCATTTTGATATACTAAGAACTTTCTTTTCCGTTAAAAATATCACTACTTTAAACTTAGCTTTTTAACCCCAGATCAACTGTCCAGAACCTGTCGCTATCTGAAACCGCAGACTCTATGTCCTTTAGCTTTAGGATGATAAAAACTAGTCTTGCAAGAGAACAGTGAGTATGCTAGCCAAAAAAGAAAAGTATTCATTCTGCACAACTCAAGAGTAACAGCTTTTTCAATCTGACAGAGTCCTCTTGCCCAATTCGACCTTTACTTCCTGAGTGAGCCGACACAAGGGCAAAGTCCAGGCCCTCAGCGGCCTGACACCCGCCCACCCACAGGCAAGCGTCTGGTGCTGGGATGGGGGTAGCTTCACCCTGCTGCCCCCAGGACTTTGGCCTCTGCCCAATCCCTTCAGAAGGATATCCTGATTATCTGCTTGGCTTTTTATCACTCCTGGCCGGCTCCCCAGACCCCATGCCCCCATCCCAAGGCCCTTACATGAGTCCAGCACTGGATTTTTCTTACTCAGGGACCTGGACAAACTTATCTGAAGAACATTTAAGCAAGTCATTCTTACTTACTAGGAATTAGCAATTACTTCTCCAAGCATTAGTTCTTTCCTCCTTGGCCTCTTCTGGGGAAAATGTTACTATTTTTTCCCATAAATATAATAATTTGGGATTTACTGCCCTTTGTTTTTTCAGTAGGGTTATGACTTCAGCTACTGCAGGTATGGAAATGAATGTCTCAGGAATGCTTGGAGGGATCATGCTTGAAGCAATATTTATGAAAAGAACAAAATGGCTCAGAATGACTCACGAGCTCACTAGTCATGCTTTCTAAAACTGTTACTGTACCTTGTGCGTTAAAGACGATTTTCTCCTGAGGAAGAGAAAACTTCCCAGTCCCTGTGGAGCACACACAGACAGCACTCTCAGTATACAGATACGCAGTCTGGTTGGAAAAGTTTGGGACCATCAACCGACACATAATCAAGTCTTCAGACTGAAAATCAAATTAAAATTTACATTTAATGAGAATTAAAACAAACACGCTTATTTGTATGATTATATAATTCACATTTTTGTACAATGATATCTTACAAAAATGATAATATAATTCAGACTATCCTTGTGAGAACCTAACCACTACCCATGAGATGATTTACAAAATATGACAGAGTAAGTTTATAAACATCAATTAAAGAAATCATCTGTTTAGTTGCAAATAATTAGCAAATTTCCAAAACATCTCCATGATGTAAGATTTTAACTAGAAGCCTATAAAAAATGTGAGAAAGAAAAGGATTAAAATTCATTTTATTATTTATTTTGGAATTAGCAAATAACTTTATAAATGATACCTGATAAATGTTTTAGATCTTACTTCACTGTCAAGATATCAAGCACAAGAAAATTGAGGTAATTTGTTCATATATAAAATCAGAAGCAGAAGGAAAACAATTCCATTCACAATTGCATCAACAAGAATAAAATACCTAAGAATAAACCTAACCAAGGAGGTGAAAGACCTATACCCTGAAAACTACAAGACACTCATGAAAGAAGTTAAAGAAGATGCCAATAAATGGAAATACATCCCGTGCTCATGGATAGGAAGAATTAACATTGTCACACTGTCCATCTTGCCTCAAGCAACCTACAGAGTCAATGCAATACCTATCAAAATACTAACAGCATTCTTCAATGAACTAGAACAAATAGTTCTAAAATTCAAATGGAACCACAAAAGATCCCGAAGAACCAAAGCAATCCTGAGAAGGAAGAATAAAGCAGGGGGGATTATACTCCCCAACTTCAAGATCTACTACAAAGCCACAGTAACCAAGACAATTTGGTACTGGCACAAGAACAGTCCCATAGACCAGTGGAACAGAATAGAGAGCCCAGATATAAACCCAAGCATATGTGGTCAATTAATATACAATAAAGGAGCCATGGATACACAATGGAGAAATGACAGCCTCTTCAACAGCTGCTGTTGGAAAAACAAGACAGCTACATGCAAGAGAATGAAAAGTGGATCACTGTCTAACCCCATACACAAAAGTAAACTTGAAATGGATCAAAGACTTGAATGCAAGTCATGAAACCATAAAACTCTTGGAAGAAAACATAGGTGAAAATCTCTTGAATATAAATATATAAGCAACTTTTTCCTGAATGCATCTCCTCGGACAAGGGAAACAAAAGCAAAAATGAACATGTGGGACTACATCAAACTAAAAAGCTTCTGTACAGCAAAGGACACCATTAGTAAAACAAAAAGGCATCCTATAGTATGGGAGAATATATTTATACACGACATATCCGATAAGATGTTAACACCCAAATATATAAAAAACTCATACACCTCAACACCCAAAAAGCAAATAACCCAATTAAAAAATGGGCAGAGGATCTGAAAAGAAACTTCTCCAAAGAAGAAAATCAGATGTCCAACAGGCATATGAAAAGATGCTCCACATCACTAATCATCAGAGAAATGCAAATTAAAACCACAATGAGATATCACCTCACACCAGTTAGGATGGCCAACATCCAAAATACTAGGAACAACAAATCTGGTGAGGATGCAGAGAAAGGGGAACCCTCCTACACTGCTGGTGGGAATGTACATTATTTAGTTCAACCAATGTGAAAACAATATGGAGGTTCCTCTATAAACTAAAATAGAAGTACCATTTGACCCAGGAATTCCAATCCTAGGAATTTACCCAAAGCAAACAAGATCCCAGATTCAAAAAGACATACGCACCCCTATGTTTATCACAGTACTATTTACAATTGCCAAGATATGTAAGCCAACATCTACTAAGTGTCCATCAGCAGATGAATGTATAAAGAAGATGCGGTACATATACACCATGAAATGCTTTTCATCAATAAAAAGAAAACAAATCCTACCATTTGTAACAACATGGATGGACCTAGAGGGTATTATGCTCAGTGAAATAAGCCAGGCAGAGAAAGACAAGCACCAAATGATTTCACTCATCTGCAGAGTATAAGAACAAAGCAAAAACTGAAGAAACAAAACAGTAGCACAATCACAGAACCCAAGAAGAGACTAGCGGTTACCAAAGGGAAAGGGGATGCGAAGGTGCGGTGAGGAGGGCAGCAGAAGTGGATTAAAGGGCATTACCATTAGCACACATAATGTGGGGGTGGTACGGGGAAGTAGGTATTGCACAGAGAAGACAAGTAGTGACTCTACAGCATCTCACTATGCTGAAGGACAGTGACTGCAATGCGGTACGAGGGGGACTTGATATAATATGTGTAAATGTAGTAACCACAATGTTGCTCATGTGAAACCTTCATAAGATTGCAGAAATAGATAAAAGACGTAACTAAATGATAAAATTAGCAAATGCTAAAATGACATACTGTTTGTTATTAAAGAAATAATTTCACAAACAAAACATTACAAATGGTATCCCATGATTCTTTTATTCTCAAATTGTTTTCTTTATACCCATTTGCATTGTCTGATAAATTTTAACACTTAACATGTTTTTCTTGAATAACATCACATTAGGTTTATTCTATTTGAAATAAAAGAACAAATTAAAAGATTTCAGCCTTCAGTTACACAAGTCTTGTTGAGAATAAGGGTTTAACAAATTTAGGTATTACTCAAGGTTAAATGAAATGAATTTACGGCTGTTAATGCTTTTCCTCACGGAATATCACAGATATTAAACAATATATTTATTATTATTTACTATGTTTACTATTTAGAAGTTTAAAATTAGAGATCATTTTGATTGTTTATATGAACTTTGATGAGTATATGATGCTGTTGCCTACAAATATCTTACTTTGAGCAAAAAAGGGGAATTTTCTGCATTATACCAGGCTCACACCAAACCCAGTCCTTTTCTCAGGTTGTTTCTCCCTTAGTCTCCACTGTAAATTTCATCATCAACATTGTATTTCTACTCAATACTATAGAAATGACAATCCCTTCATGGAGCTAGAGCAGTAGAAACAAACTGCTTGCTGCCAGGTGGCAAATAAAATGCAATGCCTAAAAACTAGCTATTTAGAAATATTTCCAAGCCCTGCAGATAAATCTCTTAAAGAACTTGGCCCTGCAATGGTTAGGGAAAAATCGGTTACATTACTGTCACTTTGTGATTTAACTTCCAGAAATCTTACCTGAAAAGGTGGATTATATTGAGTGACTTCTACAGTTACTGCATCTGACATTTGATAGCCGTTATCTTCTAATGTTATCAGGGAATAATAGACGAGGCACGGACTATCTGCCAGGTGCCATGCTGCTGCCAGAATCAGGAGTCCGTCGCTAATCAATGGAAAAGAAAGATCTATAGCCTCTTTGGAAAACAGCCTGGAAGGTTTGTATACAGTTAAACAAACACTTACCATATGACCTAGCAATCTCACTCCTAGATATTTACCCAAGAGACATAAAAACACGTTCACAAAAAAACCTGTATGCAAATGTTTACAGTGGCTTCACTGCTGAGCACCAGAAACTGAAAACAGCCCAATACCCTTCAGCTGCTGGACGAACAGACCCTGGTATGGCTATTTAATGGACGACTCTCAGCAGCAGCAGGACACACTAATGAATGACTATCAAATATGTCATGCTAAGTGAAAGAACCTGGACTCAAAAGACACATATGATTTATACTACATGATCCCACGTCTGTAAAGGCATTCTGTAAAGGTAAAACCACAGGGACAGAAAATACATCAGTGATTGCCAGGGCCTGGAAGTGGAAGGAAGGGCTCATTACATACAGGCAGGAGGGAACTTTTGGGACTGTTCTGCATCTTGACTGTGGTTAAGGTTAAATGCACTAATCTGTCAAAAAGAGTAAATGCTACTGCATGTAGACTATAGCTCAATAAACCCAACTTGATAAAAAAAAATCAGCAAATCATCAAATGCAGGGATTGGCAAAGTGCAGGCCTCAGGCCAAAGCGTGCCGGGCACATGTCTGTACGTGAAGCCTTGCCGGAGTGCAGCCCCACCTGCTCCTTCTGCACCGTCTGTGGACGGACCGCCCAGCCCCAGAGCTGTTCTGGGCCCTGCCTAGAGAAGGCCGCCCACCCAGTTATAATGGGTTCTTCAAACCTTTCTTTTGTCCAAAGAAACACGTTTTTAATTTTAATCATTGGTTATAGAAACTTCAAGCTGCTCTATTTGTGAGAACCTTTTTTTCCATCTTAATGCTAATTTGTTAAGTCTGTCAAAGTTGTTACCCCCAACAGAGAATTAAATGGTCTGTAATCTCAACCCTTCCAAAAGATTCAGTAACATCTATTAGCAACTTTCATTCAAGACTCAGAAATATTTAACAGGGCAGCAAGCACCCTCTACTGACAAGTAAAAATGAGAAACCAGCTAGTGATTTAATGACATGCACTCAAATCAAGCAGTCCTAACACGGCTCTCATTTTCCTTCTCCACTGTTCTCTTCCCCTAGCTTCCAACCCTCATCGTGTCCCCCTGGACTCCTGAAAGGAATTCACAGATATCAGCCCAAACTGTAATACACTGGCAGTGACCTAAATAGCTCACAGATGGCAGACGAGAACATTACACATGGAAGGAACGGAGTGAGGTCTCAGAGGACGCGGTCTTGAGTGTCCTCTCCCTATCAAGTAGGGAAGTGTACTTGGTTACACCTACGGTAAGACTCTAAAGTTACTGTAGAGATTGCATCAACGTGATAGGCGGTGCCCGCTGAGTCTCGAAGACACAACCAATGGGGTTCTTTATGGAGTGGTGCTAGGATCAGTTTTATAAAAACAGTTTTATAAAAACATGTTTATAAAAAAAATCTTCATGTTTGAAAAAACAAAGCTATTTGAGGTAGTAAAGATGATAGGAAAAAACAAAGCTATTTGAGGTAGTAAAGATGATAGGAAAAAAATCACAATTTTGCATATCAGTAAAAAACCTGACTAATTTTTATGGCATATATACAAGGTAATTCATTTAAGACTTTAAAAATTGCAAATTGTACATCTTAAATGAAGCTTTCTGAGCTTTGTATCAGTAATAATCTAGTAAAAGAACTTATAAGCCTGTTCACTGAAAATATAAGCCCAGGTTGCAGCTGGGCCGAAATGGGCCCTCTGTCGGGAGGATCAGTGAGCACCGGGAAGACAAACACGGCCCTTGAACAAGAGAGACCCGTCTGCATGTCGGACACTCTTTACAGATCACTCGGAACAGAGGATATAAGACATGACCAGTTAATGTGGAGTGAGGGTGGGAAGGAAGGTCAAGACGGAGAATGCAGGCCGTGCCTCACAAACCCCCTAAGCTCCCTGCCCTCAGGACACAGCAAGGGTGGAGTCCTGGGCCTGCGCCCATAGAGGCCCCCAGCATGCTGCCCTCTGCCCCTTGCAGCCCACACCACCACTCGGGGAACTACACATGGGGAAAGGTCTGCATCTGATGTCCACGGAGGGCTGTGTCCCAGCAGAAGTTCTAAATTTCTTAAACTCTGGTAAAGATAAATGAAAACAGGTAAACTGTCTATTTAAACTGCTTATGGAAATCAAACATGTACTAATATTTTTTACCTCTTTGATAGTTTCCATAAGGTTTTCAGAAACTATAAAGAAGAATCCTACAGATAATCTCAATAGCCTGAGAGGTAAAAATCACATACAACTACAATGCTGTCCAGGAAGGAGGCAGCCTGTCCTGCCTGAGCCCTCGAGGCCCAGGAGGACGGCCCTGGACTTCTGAGAGGCTGTGCTCTGAAGGACTGCAGCTCACATACTGGCCCTCACTAGGAATCTCCTCATAGAAGCTATGATACAAATGACTGAGTTCCATATGACCTTTGGTATTAAAGCTAAATAACAATGTGGGATAAATTAGCTTTATCAGACTAACCTGGGACCCTAAGCACTGCTAACAGCATTGTTGCTAAGAGGAAATTCACGGAGTCCAAACCGTGGCTGAGCTGTGATGTGTACTGCCAAGAGAAAACCTTACCCCTAAAAATACATTTACTGACATTCCTTCAGCAACAGGAAAGGCTGGAGAAAGGCGCCTGGCGTCTCCGCCGAGAGGGAAATGCTGACAGCACGGAGCACCCACAGCGGTGGAGGCACCTCTTAGCAGTGAGAAGAGAAGCTCCAGCCGTGGGAGCAGAAAAGATGAACCCCCAACCAGGCAGACAGCTACTGCGAGAACATACAGCTGAAGGATGAGAACTGCCTCCATTTCTCAGTCAACCGGCATCTCCAGGTAAGAGCACAACCCAGTCGGTAGCGCACGGCAGTCCGGTAAGATCGGCCGCAGAGCGCACAGCAAGGCCGCTCATTGTTCCAGGAGGAACATCAGTTTATTTTTCTGTCTGTATTCCCTACGACAAATCGCTCACTTACTTACCAGTTCTGCTTCAGATCCAAGTACCGAACGTTGACCCCTTCTTTAATCGCTTCATAGTCACTCTCAGATCCCTGTACAAAAATATCAGTGACATAAGCTCCTTGAGCACAGGAATCATTCCTTTCCCCCTGTGTTCCCAGAACTACCAAAGTGCCTCATTCACAGCAGCTCCTTTACTGAATGGATAATTGCCCATTTAGCAATTAAGTAAATCAGTGAGTTCTAATATTTCTAGAAACTGAATATCCCATTTCCACTTATCTGATAATTAAAACTGTATGTGTGGTGCACTGAAGGTGTTCTACTAAATGAAACTAAGGGTACTAGCATTCTTCAATAACCCTAAGTATAAATCACAGAATGAATATTACTGTTCCTTACCCAAATGGCATCAGCAATGTTTTCCTTCAGGACTCTGTTTATATCCCAACTATGTGCTTGTTTTTCTGAATAGTCATCTAATTCCCACTTACTGATGCTTGAACTTGTCAGACTATAAAAGCTTGATCTCTCTCCATCCCAAAGGACACTGGAAAGCTGTGTGGAGGAGAAAAAAGTCCAGATTATTAAATCACTGAGATTGAGGTATAGATTATTAAGTTCTAATGTTAATGACTATTTTTATGAAATTTCAAATTTTGCATAGTTCATGCCTATCTGATTAGCAACCGAGCAGAATCCTTCCCTGAGGATTCAGAGGAGGGAGCCTGAAAACAGTCGGGGAAGCAAGGCTGTTTCCAGAGACACAAAGGTGGCGGGGAGCCCACAGGGAGGGCGGCCGGGAGGGGGAGAAGTCACAGGGTCTGCAGAGAACACGAGCAGTCCTGTGAAATTGGAATATAGATTATTAACTAGACAAGAAGCAAAAATAAGGCTCAAATGAAAGACTAGGGAGATACAGCAGAGGGTCCTGACTATGAGTGTGCAAACCTAATGAGCAAGGGAGATATATTATCAACGGCTTTTGAACACAAGCGCCATGTTATAGGAAAATGAATCTGGCAGGGATGCGTGTAGTTATACACAGTTATGTTATTTCACCTTTTGAGTATATACTTGCTTATGAAGCATAGACGTGTTTTTTAAAGTTGGTGCACATGTGACTGTTTTGAGTTAAAACCCTAATTATCTCCATTTCTCCTGTTGGGACTCTGGCCACTAATGGGACAGGGGCACCGACAGCGAGTAAACTGGACTGGCAGCAAGAGCTTGAGCAAAACGTGCCAAGAGTGAGGATTATGGCCTAACAATACAAGCAGAAAGATGGGGGTGGAAATGGGGTATTTCTGAAGCCAAGTCATAGTATCTGTTAAATAATTTGCTATAGAAGGAGAGGGAGACACCGAAAAATAAAAAAATCAAAGTTTTTTCCTGGATCATTGAAGAAAGTGACAATGCCATTAACAGAAATAAGTCAAAAGAGAAATGAGTTTTGTAGGTTACTGTATTGTCAAAAGGAGACAAGACGGATTATGAGCGATTTGTTTTCTGACATGCTAACTTTGAGGTTCAAAGACCACTCAGGGAACAGATGATGAGAGCGACCTGAAATCTCCTAACTCAGAGCACAGGAAAGAAAAGACAGGCTTTCAACTCAAACAGGTGCAAGCATGAATCTGCCACCAAGTAGTTCGGGACCCGGGGCAGTTTACCTAGCCTCCCTGAGGCTGCTTCCTCATCCGCAAACTGGAGAGAAAGCTTTCGACATTACAGGCAGTCAGAGGAATTACACAAGATAACCAAATATGGAGCAGCTGGTAGAGAGGAGATGCTCCTGAAATACGAGTTCCCATCATCCTTCGTTATCCTGGAGCTCACGGCAGAAGCCCAACTGACAGGTGCAGCTCTGAGCCATCCGCACAGACAGCTGGGCTCACGGGAGTGAGGAACACGCTGGGTTAAGTCTAGAAGGCAAAAATCAGTCCACAGACGTTTATCTTTTTATGGAACAGTGTTAATTCAAAGAATGCACTTGTAAAACAGCCTGTGTGATTTAAGAATATTAAAGTGATACAGTATGTGAAAGGGTTAGTATGAACTCATGTGATCATCATAAAAGATCAAAGGTTGTATTTTATGTATACCACTGTTCATATGGTGACAATACCAACTTCACAGGAAACTTCCAATTTACTGATTTCATTAAGAAACAAGCCCATAAAGCCAAGTTTTTTACCAACTTACTATGAGATCAGTGCTAGGAGACAAAATTCCCAGAAGAGAAGACACCTTGCGACTGATTCCTGAAAGCATGCCCTGCCCCTGAGGCAGGACGTGCTGATGGATCTTCCCTGAACCTTCAGGTATCAGCCGAACCAGCGGGCTTCCCAATGAGGACAAAATAAAACTTCCTCCCTGGGAACAAACATTGTGAAATTAGGTAAGCATCTAAGACAAAGATGTGTTACAAAACTAACACAGAATGCTCAGATACACAGAATCATCTGCAACTTAAAACAGGTCCATTCATATAACAATATTAACTCCACTTAATAAAACTTTTGCTGCAGTTTTATTTTTTAACTGCATGTTTTTAAATTTTGATTTTTAAATTACAGGCTCACCATAAAGTTCGATAAATCAAGTATCAGATTTTATTTCTTTGGTAAACCTGCAGAGTACACATTAGCATATCATTCTTCATACTGTCTAAGAGTTTCTAGGTCACTCTTGAAGAATGTTTCTGGAAGAAATGAATACCACTGACAACTATCTCATATCTACTTCAGAGTCCTATGAGAAGGGCTTCCCTTCGTCTCACTACTCCAATCCTAGACCCTTACAGTCTTTTCCTGCCTCTTGATCCCTCCCTGACTTATAAGGTCTGCTCAAAACCCCACACTTTCAGTCATTCAAATCCCACTTCCAAACAAATCACCACTTTCCAGTAAGTATAAAAGAATATCCACCATATACCTGCACTGCTGTTAGGAAATTGTAAGTCTTATCACCTCCCAAATCTACTGAAGTCTCTGTGTAGGTGTCTTCAGCAGCAAGGCTTGGCCAGTAGCGGACGGATCCCCCTCTGGTGGCGACCATGACAGCGACAGCCTGGAAACAAGACGAGAGCGCTCAGCAATCACGACGACAGACAAATGACAACAATATGAAGAAAGCAGGGCAATTACTAAATCAGAAACAACAACTCCTTCTTTTTGTTTAAAAGTTAAGTATAGTTGACATACCATACTACATTGGCTTTAAGTGTACAATGATTTGACAGTTATATACATTACTAAAACGCTCACCACAATAAGTGTAGTTATCATCTGTCACCATAAAAGTTATAAAATTATTGATCATATTCCCTATGCTCTGCTTTCATCCCCATAACTAGTTTATAATTGGAAGTTTGTCCCTCTTTATCCCCTCCACCAATTTTGCCCATCTTTCCATCTCCTCCCCTATTGCAACCACCAGCCTGTTCTTTGTGTTTATGAATCTGTTTTTGTGAATGTGCTTATGAATTTTATGAATGTGTTTATGAATTTGCTTTGTTTGTTGGTTTGTTTTTTAGATTCCACATGTAAGTGAAATCATATGGTGTTTGCCTTTCTCTGTCTGACATTTCATTGAGCTTAATAACCTCTAGGTCCATCCATGTTTTGTTGCAAATGGCAAGGTTTCATTCTTTTACATGGCCGAATAATATTCCACTATATGTGAAGAAAAGGAAACCTTTCACGCTGGCTATTGGTGGAATATAAACTGGTACAGCCACTATGAAAAACAGTATGGAGTTTTCTCAAAAAAAAAAACCAAAAACTAAAAACAGAAATACCATACAACACAGTAATTTCACTTCTGGGAATTTACCCAAAGAAACTAAAATCACTAATTTAAAAAGATATATGTACTCTTATATTTACTGCAACATTACTTACAACAGCCAAGATATCAAAGCAATCTGTCTTCCTTTATTTTTATTTTTTTAAGGTATCATTGATATACTCTCTTATACTGTCATCTTGAATCTCCTGTGTCTTCCTTTTTATACTTTAAAAATGATCATACAGTAAAATTGACTTTTTTCCTCTTACTGTATAGTTCTATGAATTTCAACACCTATACAGACTCATGTAACTATCACCACAATGAGGATACAGAATAATTCCATAAGTACCCAAAAATCCCTAGTGCTATCCCCTTATAGACATACCCTTCCCCATCCTAACTCCTGGCCACCACTATTCCCATCATTATAATTTTTTCTTTCCAAGAATGTCAAGCAAATGAAATCACATAGAACATAACCTTTTGACACTGGTTTATCTCACTTAGCATAACGGCTTTGAGATTCATCCAGGCTGTGGCACGTCTCAATAGTCATTCCTTTTTATTGCTGAAAAGTATTGCATTCTATGGATGAACCAGTTTGTTTAACCATCCACTTGCTAAAAGATATTTGGGTTGTTTCCACTGCTGGTGTCCACAAATAAAGTGCTGATTCATGTACTGATTTTTTGCGTAAACATTACATTTTAATTTCTCTAAGGTAAATAGATAGGAATGAAATTGCTCGGTCATATGCTAAGTGTATTTTAACTTTATAAGAAAGTGAAAATCAAATGGCTATACCAGTTGCACTCCCATCACCAACACAGGAGTCCCAGCTGCTCCACATCCTTGGTGCTTGGCAGTGTTAATACTTTTTATTTTAGGCAGGTAGTGTTACCTGTTGTTTCAATTTGCATTTAGCTAATGGCTAATGATGTGAACATCTGTTCATGTACCTATTTGACAACCTTATAACCTCTTTGTTTGGTAAAGTGTCTGTTCAAGTTCTAGGCCTTGTTTTCAAATTGTTTTCTTACTAAGCTGTGAGAATTTTTATGTTCTGTAGACAAATCCTTTGTTGGGTATATGATTTATAGATATTTTCTCCCAGTCTGCAGCTTGTCTCTTCACTTTCTCATCAATGTCTTTGGAAGAGCCATGTTGTCAATTTCGATGAAGTCCAATTAATCTTTTTTTCCTAACGGATCACACTTTTAAGGATTTCTAAGCACTCTCCCCCTAATTCCAGGTCATGATAATTTTCTGCTAAAAGTTTAATAGTTTTGTTTTACATTTAGATCTATGATCTATTTCAGTTGATCTTTGCATAAGGCATGAGGTTTGGAGAAAATTTTATTTGCAGATGGATGACCAATGATTCCAACAACATTTACTGAAAAGACTATCCTTGCTCCATTGAATTCCTTTTGCATTTCTGTCAAAGATGAAAGCTCCACCTTCACCGGGTCTGTATCCATCCTGTCTATTCTGTCCTGTTGTCCTGTGTGCCCATCTCTGACACCACCACGGTGTCCTGATTCCTGTACCTTTATAGCTATGTTTCACAACAAGGTTGGATGATTCCTTCCATCTTAGAACTCCCTTCTTTAAAAAAGTATTTCAATTAGCATTTAAGTCACCTACCTGAGTAGAATGTGCTTCACCTGAGACAGCAGAATAAGAGAGGGCCACCAAGTCAGCACTCCAGGGGGAATCACTAGGTGGCAGCTGAAGTTCTTTGCACACAGATAACTACAGAACAAACCCAAACAAAAAATCTTTTGCATCAGATCTTTTTTGAAAATCCATCAGACTTTACTACTATTTTCTTTCTCTGTCTTTTTTAGGTTCTGATTCATTGCTAGAAATACCTTGCTACAGATATTCTTTCTTCTCACACCTTTTTGATCAGACTTTCATCACAGCTTTCAGTAAGTTTAGAACAAAAGATTTTGAGACATAAAAATCAGGAAAACCTAACAGCCAGATCAGAACCTGAATATCAACTAGTCCAGTCTCTCCTAGGACTAAACAAGGTCTACTTAAGCAGAGAAGTGCTCAGTGTCCCTGTGGAATTTCCCCAGTTCTAGTCTTGAGTTATTTATTTGACATGTAAAATCAGCATGACTACAGAGTAGTTATATCAAGTTACTCAGAAATTGTTTTCTAGATAAAGAGGCTGGGGGCCTAGTGAGTGATGATGAGTGGTGCAAGGAAGTACGCCTGGTCCAGAGCAGCCAGAGAAACAGGCTGGGGGCCCAGTGAGCGATGAGCGGTGCAAGGAAGTACGCCTGGTCCGGAGCAGTCAGGAAAAGAGGCTGGGGGCCCAGCGAGCGATGAGCGGTGCAAGGAAGTACGCCTGGTCCGGAGCAGTCAGAGAAACAGGCTGGGGGCCCAGTGAGCGATGAGCGGTGCAAGGAAGTACGCCTGGTCCGGAGCAGCCAGAGAAACAGGCTGGGGGCCCAGTGAGCGATGAGCGGTGCAAGGAAGTACGCCTGGTCCAGAGCAGCCAGAGAAACAGGCTGCTGGCCCACTGAGCGATGAACGGTGCAAGGAAGTACGCCTGGTCCAGAGCAGCCAGAGAAACAGGCTGCTGGCCCAGTGAGCGATGAGCGGTGCAAGGAAGTACGCCTGGTCCAGAGCAGTCAGAGAAACAGGCTGCTGGCCCAGTGAGCGATGAGCGGTGCAAGGAAGTACGCCTGGTCCAGAGCAGCCAGAGAAACAGGCTGCTGGCCCAGTGAGCGATGAGCGGTGCAAGGAAGTACGCCTGGTCCAGAGCAGCCAGAGAAACAGGCTGGGGGCCCAGTGAGCGATGAGCGGTGCAAGGAAGTACGCCTGGTCCAGAGCAGCCAGAGAAACAGGCTGCTGGCCCACTGAGCGATGAACGGTGCAAGGAAGTACGCCTGGTCCAGAGCAGCCAGAGAAACAGGCTGCTGGCCCAGTGAGCGATGAGCGGTGCAAGGAAGTACGCCTGGTCCAGAGCAGTCAGAGAAACAGGCTGCTGGCCCAGTGAGCGATGAGCGGTGCAAGGAAGTACGCCTGGTCCGGAGCAGTCAGAGAAACAGGCTGCTGGCCCACTGAGCGATGAACGGTGCAAGGAAGTACGCCTGGTCCAGAGCAGTCAGGAAAAGAGGCTGCTGGCCCAGTAAGTGATGAGCGGTGCAAGGAAGTACGCCTGGTCCAGAGCAGTCAGGAAAAGAGGCTGGGGGCCCAGCGAGCGATGAGCGGTGCAAGGAAGTACGCCTGGTGTGGTGCAGCCAGAGAAGGAGGCTGCTGGGGGTGAGTCATTAGACACACAAGTGATGACCCATGTAGGAGAAAATGACGACTCAAAAGTTAAACTGACAATTTTAAAAACTGTTGTGAGTTTTTCCTATTTTATTAAGCATCATACAGTAAATTCAGTGAAATACAGTCCATTCTTCTTAGAAATGAATTTAGTTCATTAACTCATAAGGATGGTATTTAGTTTTAGACTTTGTAAGATAGACTAATTAGCATGACATTCATTAAAAATTTCAATGTCTCTTGTTTTATTATAAATAAATAACATGGATCTTGTTTTACTAAAGAGGAGAAACTTTTTTCACAATAAACATATGTATATGCAGCTCAGCATTTATTATCACACAAACATGCAAATACATAATACTTGAATAGATTCAGATTACTGTTGTTCAACAACTCTAAAAATTTAGGGTAAAAACTAAGAGCCAATTGGTAATGCTCTCTTCTAACTTCTAGGTCTCTAAAGAGCCATTACCTTAGTAATAGGTGACAGAGCAATCTTCCAAATAATGAGTTTCTCTTTGCAGACCAGACAAGCCCATCCGCCTTCATCTATGTGAACAGTCAGCTGATCATCAGCTAAAGAAAAGTATGAGGTAATCTTAATTATGAATAAGAAAACCTGTTAAAATGTCCTTATACCAAAATGTTTATCACCACATTTTCACCAAAAAATGTAATTACCACACACAAAAAAGATTAATTCACAACAAAAACACCCTTTAATAATTCAAGTTATTAATTTCCAAACAAGAGATCCATTTAACTTTCATAACCACTTTTAGAAATAGTGTCTAAAGGCAATAAGTATATCCTGAGCCTAGGTTTAATACCTTAAGTTTTGTTGTAAACTGGTATCTTACTTTCTACAATATACAGTAACTTTTGTAATTTTATTTTGATAAAGCAACACAAATAATAAACCCTCCCATTAAATACATACAGTATTTCGAGGAAAAATCATGTTCCTTAAAAGTATATGACTTTCAAGTGAAAAAATAAATTACTTCATTGTATGGAGACATAGAAGAGACATAATAAGGAGACATTCTGTATTAAGTGACAAAATTCAATTAGTATATTATTGTCATAAGCATCCCAAGTAAACCTACATAAACGTGTTAACAGCCCTGGAAATTAAAGTAACTTGAGCTTTGCTCCTTGATTTAAGACAAGGCAGAGGGGCAAAATAAAAGACATCAATTATATGCAAGCTAAAGTATCAAAATCACGGTAAGTGTGGATTTTTTGATGAATTGGAATAACTGTTCAGTATTTTCTTTTCCTGAAAACACTACAGCAGCTCTAAATCCTCTGCTGTGAGCCCTGGAGGACCCTTAGGACCCTGACTTAACACATAGCACTTGACAGGTTTCCACATGGAGAAGAGTTCTCCAAGTTTACACACCTCTTCCATTTACACACCTGGTTTCTAGGGACTGTCTCCTCTGGAGCTGTGTACCATCTGCTATTAACATAGTCTGGTGGCATGAACATATGTATGTTAAAAGGTTTAAATGCAATTTAAGCTAAAATTTTTAGAGAGGAAATTTTAAAAATATATTATTAGTTATCTGAAAACAACTGTACCCAAAACTCCCAAGGATTTATTGGCAAGATGGGCAAGTTCAAGCTGATGGGAAATGTTCATTCTTCTAGAAGGAAGTACTTTAAACTTTCTTTACCACCATCCACCATATGAAATACATGTTACATCATGATGCATTCACACACAATGTAAATAAAACAAAGTTACTTAACATTTTTGTATGAGCTAAACTCTGATATTTTCTATTTTATTTCACTTTTTTAAAAACCCTGGTTATGAAACACTAAATTGATTTCAGTTACTGCCTATAGTTTGAAAAACATTGTTCCAGAAAATCACAAAGATCTAAAATTGAATCCTTAACAAAAATGGCATGGGCAGATCACTCAGGATGCTTTAAACTTTGCTCTTTCGGCCACCCAATACTTTATCCTTCCTGTTACCTTTCTGAAGTTTGTGTTGACTGCCTCTTCCAAACTTCTACTCTGATTCTCTCCCCAAAAAAATCTTCTATGGTACACCACATTGATTACATAAATTTGTGCATACAGCCGCTGGGATACTACACAGGATCCAGAAATGGAGGTAAGACTTGATTTTCCTGCATTACTAAACCCAATAATCTGAGGCAGCAGTTTTTTTGGGTTTTGTTGTTTTTAAAAGCTAAACTTTATATACTCAATCAACTTTTGAAACTGGATGAAATTTTGCATAAGCAGTATTTACGACCACTAAAGACTTAATTTGACTGTGCTAAGTGAAGTCATTCTGCTTCTCAAATTTATTGTGTTTCTCAATCACAATGAAAAACCAAATAGGTTTCCTGTTTCTCCCATTTAAGTGAAGGTTAAAAGAGAACGCACAGATTTCAATCCCCATGCCAGACCTAGGCTTCATTTTGAATTGCTAATAGAGGCAAATGGAAATGACACCCACCTTCAGCCAATGTTAGGGCTTCCATGATTTTAACAGGGAGAGAAGATCCAAAGGTTTTCACATCATAGTTCATGGACTCAGTTACAGAGTGGTGTGGGAATGTTCGTGTAGGTGTTCCTCTAAAGAAAAGAAAGCATATTACTTCACCCATAACTTAAGATTTTCCACTATCCAAATTTTTGTATGTATATTTTCACATAAAGATCTTTGATAAATAAAAAGAAAAAGGTATGGTGGTGAAAAAAAACTGGCACAAGTATACTGCATAATTAGATGTATTTTTCATTTCAAAAAGACTGTCAAGACTTAGGAAAGCTTGGCTTCAGATTCTTAGTTCTAGTAATTAAATATACGTTCTATTCACTTAAGCTATAACTCTGTTTCCTTAGCTGTATAACAAGGTTGGACTAGACCACTGATTTTCAAACTGGGTCATTCTGAGGGTCTCAATGAACACTTTCGAAAAACAAAATATAAGAAATGGAGCCATCATACACTGTGGTCCAAAAGTTTTACAAACATTGGGTTAGACTACTTTTCAGCTCTCATCAACTCCAGAATTATAAGAATTTGTCAGATCTGTACAATCAAGCAAAAAATTAGTGTCATGACTTTCTGCTGTTACCTCATCTTCAACTGCAGATACAGCAGTAGAAATAACATTTCCTTCCCACCTTCTTGTTAACATTCAGAAAAATAATGTAAAGTTACCAGTATAAAAGTTATTCTACCCTTTATCTTTAGGATTGAACAAGGAGATACACATACAAAAGGATAAGAGCTTTGTTCCTTCACAAAGTATTGTAACAAACATTTTGGTTAAGTGATCACCAGAAGGTAAGAAGAGATTAAAGAAAAACACATTAAATAAAGTACAGCTTTTATTCCCTGGCTTTCCTCAAAAAGATTAGAGAACCCTGGCAAGATCACCACTTTAAAGAGCGCTTTTCAAAATGCAAAAATCAAGGATGCGGTGTCTTCTTTAAAGTACTGTAAGGTTTTATGAATATATTTTAATTATACGTTCGAGACCCAATATTACTATTTTCTTGCAGGGGTGAATGCATTTTTGATAGACATATTCAGAAGAAGCTTCTCAGAAACACATTCCCTTCTTCTAAAATTCTAGATTAAATATGAAAGAGGGGAGGCTGAGGAGCATGGTTTTATGGGTGATGGGGGCAGATGCGCCATGCTTTTATTAGTAACAAAATTACACTTATCTCACTATTTATGGAAATTTCCCTATTAATTTAGCTACAAAGTTGATTTCTGTAGCTAAAGGCCCTTTAGTTCCCAATGAGAAGACACTAATGGCAGTTACACGTCAGGCGTTATATGATTTTCCAGGGCTGGCGATCGCCACGCCCACCATCACTTCGTATGTGTCGCGTCTTTTCTCATCGACTCCTTCGGCCTTAGAGAAGCAGGCTCAAGTCGGCTACTGGTATCGCCATTTCACGGATGAAAAGCATCCTGAGCGATTCTCTTATACCAGTTCAGAAGTGCAGTTAAGGGGAGAGGCAGGTAGCCGCTGATTCAAGCCCAATTTGTTCTTCACCCCTGTGCAAAGGTAATTGCAGGAAAAGCACAGAACGAGGACTCATCCGAGTTGATCGGAGCGAGGTGACAACCGCGAATGTGGAAGGTCTGTTTCCCCAGGACTCTGGCCTGCGCCCGGCCCTGGCGTTCCCGGGCCCGGAGGCTCCAGGGGACACTACCCCGTCCGGCCCGTGGCCCGGGAGCCTGTCGGTCGCCAGACCCAAGCGGGGATGACCACTTACCGCGAGCTCAGCGAACTACGCCAGCCGACCGGCGAGAAGATCCCCGGGGAGCTGACCGCGGACCCCAGGGACAGGCCCGTCCTGCTTGCGGCCCGGGGCGTGGAGCCCGCTCCGACACCGCCCAGCGGGCCCCTTCGGCCGCCGGGCCCTGGGGTCCGCGGGGAGGACACCGCCGGGAACATGACGGGAGGGAAAGGCGACAGGGAACGCGCCGGCTCCTGCTGTGGTGCTGAGGAGCGGCTCCCTCGCGGAGCTTGAACACCTAAGGGACTGGAGGGCGCGCGGTGAAACGCAAACACCCCGCGCCCGGCCACGGGGCGTGGGCGGGGCGGCTGGGTTGGGAAAGGGCGCTCGGTGATGACGTCCAAGTGCAGTGCCCAGCCGTGGGGTGTGGTCGGGGCGGTGGCTCTGGAGGCCGAGGGATCCGCTTCCTGGTTCCCCGCGGCCCCGGGCGATGGCAAGTGAAATCGGGAAGCCACGTGCGCTTCTCGACATCGGTGGGTGGTTGAATGCGAAGCCTCTCAGCGCGCCGGTCCTTCCCGAGCGTCTGGGGACGTGAAGAGTGCGTTCCCCAGCCCTAGCGGAGAAAACCTGTAAAGCTGACGTGGATTTCATGCTCGGTGCTACATTTGTGCTTCTCTAGGTCTGCCATTTTCCCGTTCAGCTCTGCAGTCTCAGGCCCCAAGTCCGTGTCTCGAGCTCAGATTCTTCTAAAAAACCGCAGGCTCCTAAAACCTCCCTAGTGGACTATTTTCACCTGATGTCCTGCAGGGTCCACACTATATATTTGTTCACGGAATTCCTTTTCTCCTTTAGGGCACCTATCCGGCTACACTCCTGTACCGTTTGTTAAAACTGGCCAACTGCCCAAGGCAAGCACCCCACTCCATAGAGTCATTCGTCCCTCTTACCCGCACTCTTAAGTTACATCCTTATATTGTGGCTCCCAACTATCTCCAGTAGATCTCACTTTTGGTCTGCCTGTGCCCTGTTGAAGTACTCAACTCTTTGTTTTTTGTCTTTAGCCTCTTTTTTGGTCTCCATGCCTCTGTCTAGTCTTAACTTCTGCTGCGTCGGATGGTCTCAGCTCTGGACGTTCACTCTCGATTCAGTGAGACCAAAAATAATGACAATGAAACGTTGGGGGTAAAAGGTCTTATGCCACATTTTATCGGTGGTGGCTAGAATCCCATCCACATCGGGCAAGTCTGCAGTCTGTCTCTGCCAGTGTTGCCTCTCCCCCTCTGGGCAGAGCACTGGGCCAAGCTCCTTATATAGCAACACAGCCAACAAAGGCTCAGAGCCAGCGCATGTGTAAGCATGTGCCTATGCAGTAGGCCAATTACATCATTGCAGGTGCACAGTGGGCAAGTAGATTAGGGTCAGGTGAGGATCCTGGCCGTTAGAACTTCAATTTTCCCTATGCTCACTCGGTCCTACCCACTGTCAACATAATAAACTAAGGCCAATCTGAAGCTGCTTTTGAGCTTGTCGATGCTCTGATGGTTGACCATTGCCCATAGGTAATTTGCTAAGCTCCTTTGCAAAGTTCTTTGTGATTTAACTCTGGCTTGTTTTTCTGTCCCTACTCTACTTCCACCACTTCCCACTTGAACTCCACATTTCAAGAATAAAGAACCCGTTTTTCTGTCTAATGCCTTTTTCACATTTTACCTGCAATGCCCTCCCTCCCCTGTTGCCCAAGAAGTGCTACCTCATGCATCAAGTCTTAGTTTAGTGCCTTCTTAGTGAAGCCTTCCACAGGATTAGGTTTCCCTTTATCCTTTGCCCCTCTGTGCTCCCATGCGTAAGGTCTTTATAATATTTTTGCCCTACATAATAGTTGTTTACCTAACTCTCACATAGCTCCTTTTACATGTCTTAACAGCTGTTGCCTTTGTGCTCACCATAGCAGGTACATAGCAGACTTTCATTAAATATTTGTTGAAATAAGGGAATGGCTAAACACTGGCATATCCATATCCAGTCCACAGGGTGAATGTCAGTTGTTGACATTTCCCAGGGGGCGAGGGGGCAGGCATTCTTTAGTGCACATTAACAGCATCTGGGCAGTCATCTCATCAAGGTCATATAGGCAAGCCACTTCACTCCTTCGCCCACCAGGGTTTGTGACCCAACTTTGCAGCATTTCATCCTTGTTTCATTCTCACTGGGGGATGCAGGGAGAGTGTGTGTGTGTGTGTGTTGGGGGCAAGGGGTGGGTGGAAGTGAAGAGTAGTCATGTCTGAGAAGGTATTGGAATAAATTTATTCTTGGCCTTTGTTGGACTGATCAGTGTGGTATGACCACCATCCATTTATAAAAGCTGCTGTTTGCAAGAGCTGGAATGACTTGCCAACACCTTTGAGGAACTTCCCTGGAATCCAGATGTATGACAATGTAAGAATGGTAAATAACACCGTGTCATTCATTCATTATGGGTTTGTTGAGTTGACCAGGCTATATGATAAGTGTGGTAAGTATAAACAAAGCAGACGTGGGCCCTGTCCTCACAGAGATCACAAACCAATTAAGACACTGAACAAATGAACATAAATTTAAGTATACTCCTATGCATTGAGATGTGTGCAATGAAAGAGAAGAGCAGGGTGTGTGACAGAATAACTGGGGGCACCTAATTCGGGAGGAATCTACCAAAGCCTTTGAAGAAAAGGATATTTAGGCTGAGATGGGAAGCATGAGTAGAAGTTAGCCAAAGAATAAGAGGAATAGTGTTTTACGCAGAGGATCCTCAGGCGAGGGTTCTAGGGCAGCAAAGAGCTTGATACATTACAGGGACTTAAACCAGCTCAAATGACCAAAAGTAGAGGAAATTGGAGAAATAAGGAGGGGCTGTGAAGGGTCCTGTAGGCTCTGTCAAACAAGGTCATAGAAGAAACAGCATCCTCAAGCTGGGTAATTAAAGAGAGTAATGAAGGCATTTTAGGAACAGTGTAAAGTCCTGAGGCTCCTCACAACAGATGGGCCAAGAAAGGAAGGAGTCACCAGAACCTGAGAAAAATGGCTCCCTGCCAGAGCTGTGGCCTTGGGTCAGGGGATGCAGGACCCTTGTGGAACCCAGCAAGCAGACGGCTGGGGACGTAGTACAAACTCACGCTCCACCCAGCCTCAAGCCAGCTCTGGAAACCAAAGTGTGAGGGGCGAGGACACTAGCACAGTCCACGGAGGCCAGCCTCCCGTAGTGTGTTTAGAAGAAGGCAAGTAGATGGAAGGCTTTTGAGACATACACCGCGGGGCAGCCCGAGTGCCTCATCGCTCCCCAGGGCTCTGTCGTTTTCTCATGGAGGCCATTTCCTTACCTTTTTTCCCAGTTTTGATGCCGGGGTTCTTGTTTGCGGAGTCGAAGAATGAACTTAACAGTCAAGGTAGGAGAGCCAGGGAGAGGCTTTTATTTGGGGATTAGTGAGAGAACAGAGCTCCTGGCTCACGCCAGGAGGGTACAGGAGAGCCCGGGGCGGTGCGCTGTCTAGGGGGTTTTATAGGCAGTTGAGAGATAAAGAGCTAGGGATGCAGATCCACCAAATGGTCTCTAAATGTTTATTTTTGAAGAGACTAAGTTTCTTATTAGTTTTCCGGACTATTTTGCAGAGTTAACATAAGTTTACTGCTTTGATTCTTTCTCAGAATAGCAGTTTTTGGTTTGGGAGCATATCAATCAAGCCTGCTTGTCTTACTTTCAAGGTGAGCTGAGTTATAGTAAGTTAAGAATCTTACTTCTTAACCTCTTGGGTGTAAAAATGCAGTCTTATCTTTAAAGGTGGAATCCTTCCTGCCCTTCACTATGTTCTTTATGGCTGGGCCTGCCTGCCGTATTAATTGCCCAGGTTATACATTACTTGATTAGGGGCTCGAGGACGAAAAGCAGCATCTGGGAAAGTTAAAGATAAGCCGGGCCTTTTAGCAGGCTAAAGTAAACTTTACAATAGCCTCATTTAATTGACACCATTGAAGATATGGGCCATGCTGAGGTATTTTCTTATCTGGGGGACGTTCACACATTCCAGGCCAAGTTAATCCTGGCTTTTTAGTTTTAACTAATCTTCACTGAAGAATGCTTATACTCCTACTAGTTTGATATCTTACTTTAGAGAATTAATGTGACTCTGTCTTTGCTTAATTGTTTAATACGGAGTTTTGGTAGGGGTCTTTTTCCAGAGGCCCTCATCCTACTCTGACTACACCCAGGGTCCCTGTCTCAGTTTTATTCATTTCCTTATCTGTCTTTCTACCTTATTTTATCCAGTGTTGCCACTTACTATAGAAATCTAGAAGGGATTAGGTAGTGCGGCAGCTCTCAAACTAAACCCACGCATGAGCCTCACCCGGAGGGCTTGGAAAGCTGGAGCGCCGCCCGCTCGGAGCGGCTGACTCAGGCAGGCTGGGCTGGAGCGTGAGAACAGGCATTTCCAACAAGTCCCCAGGTGTCCCTGCTGCTGCTGCCTGGGGACACTTTGATAACCAGCGGTGTAGAAATTGAGAGTGTCCAGAGAAGACTCTGGAATTAAATGGGACTTGCTTCAAACCTCTCTCTGCAATGTTTTATGTTTGTTACCTTTTTGAGTCTCTGTTAAATTACTAATAGGACCCGCTTGTGAGAATTAGATAATATAGGTATGACTACACTGTGGATGTCAAAAAACACAAAATAGAAAGGCAAGCAAGCTGAAGAAAAAATTTTCCAGTAAAATAATAATCTTTAAAAATCAGTAGAAGAAAGCAAGCTACCCCAATAGAAAGAAATGGCAACGTATGAAGGGTATGAAGGAGCACTAAATTATACACTAGAAATGGCCAAAACCACATGAAAAATCTTCAACTTCACTGGTAACTAAAGAAATGCAAATTAAAACACCTATCAGCATTGTTTACCTGTTGAATTAGCAGGAATGTTTTTACAGATGAAAACAGCTCCTGCTGAAAAGGCTGTGGGGAAATTAGCACTGTTGTATACACTTCGGGTGGTATAATCAGTACAATCTTTTAAGAGGACAATCTATCGAAAAGCCTTATAATTTGCATATGCTCTTTACACTTGGCAATTTCACTTTTAGGAATTTATCTGAAAACGATCAAAGAAATCATAACAAAAATATATAGTTACTGTTTACAACAAGGAATACAGAAAGATACATGTCCAATGATAGATTTAATGCTATATGGTTACGAAGAATACATGCCGATGGGTGTAATGAATATTTAAAGATGTAGGAAAATACTCTGTTATCAGATAAAGCAGGTGGGTTGAAAAATAATACATCCAATATAAGCCCACTTTTGCTTTATTAAAAGAAAGGCTTCAGAGCATAGACATAGGCATGTGCTTCCCCAC